CAGTCATCTACTGTTACCCAAAAACCTCTAGAAGAACATGAAGAAGAAAGAAGAAGGAAAATAAACAACAGTCTAAATCCTCCATCTTGCCTTCTGCTTTCTAAACTACTTTAACTTTTTCACTCAGTGACTTAAGAAAACTCTTTAATCTACACACTCACACTTTTAGCTTTTTTATCGGATTTTAACAGTTGTTTCCATGTATCACCATGAAAACATGCTTATAAATTTCATATTGTATGAAATTCAGTGTTTTTCTGGATCTCAGAGCTAAACATCAGAAACAAGGGCATACACTCCGTGTCTCAGACTACAACATATCCCAATTGGATGTTCTAACAGATTTTTTATTTCTTTTTTAAAATTTCTCAGAAACAGTCAGTGGGGCCTTTACAAACCCTATTCCCCTCTAGTGCCCCCCATAGGTACTTCTCTCAAAGGAAACATCCTTTCAGATCATTTTTCTTTACTATTTTTTTTTAACTTGGAATCTAGTATTGTACCCATGGCCTTTTAGAGTCTCACTCTGTTTTTCACAACCATATGTCCTCTCTATCCCTTGTGGGTCCAGTGCACCCACACTTTCCAGTTCTGTCCCTATTCTTTCTTTTAACCTCATCCTTTCTTCAACACATTGAGATATAGGGGAGAAATAGAAAGGGATATTCTGGAGGGTACTGGGCACAGGAATACTCTTGATGAGTTAGGTAGGGGTTTGAAGACCTGGCTGGGATTGCCGAAATAATTGGAGGAGATGCAGAGGAAGCTGAGGGAACCTAAAGTCCCAAAGGTGGTTCTGAGGAGGATGTATGTGGCATTGGGGAAATGGAACGAGGGTTGGGATTCATGGGGGTGATAGGAAAGGCAGATTCAGTAGGAGGATATAAGGGTATGGATGGGGATTTGGCGGAAGATGGGGGCAAGACAGGGTAAGGTGTTGAGGGTATAAGTTGGGCTGAGGGTATTGGCAGCAGAGGAGGAGGATGATTGAGAATGGGCAGAGTTGGAGGAGGAGTTATGGGAGATTATCTAGAGGGTCCCTCTTCTTCTCAACCTTCCCTCCTTCCTCCCACCTGGACTCTTTAGACATCTTAAATACCTTCACACTTTTCTCTTTTTCAGCTTTCTTGAGCCAACAAGCCACATATTTTGCTGCTTCTTCATGTGGAGCCTCTCTTAATCTAAGATATTTACTTAATGCCAAGCATAACCATTTTTTCTTGGATCCATACCAAGGTCAATAGACAAGGCCCTCTGAAATGCTTTCCATTTGCCATATTTCAGTGCAATACCATATAATTTTTATTTTATCTAAGTCCTTTAACATATTCTCATTTTCCCACCTGTTCAACATTTCTCCCAGGGGACTATTAGGGTTTATCTCCTTAGGAGTGCTCTTTCTTTTCCCTTTCTGACCCTTACTTTTTACTACACACTGTCCCTTATTGTCTTTCATTGCTTTAAACTAAACTATTACTTTCAATTAATATAACAAAGTACGGAAATAATAATGAATATAATACCAAATTGAAAGGTATTAAGATCTATCTATATCTGAACTTAATAGGAAAACTAAATAAGAAAAACTTAAACAGGAATAAAGAAAATATTCAAAATACCCGTTTAAAGAAAACCACATTAGAAATGACCACAGCAACTTAAACAATAAATACAACTGAATGTTTACAGCCTAACAACTGGAATATAAACTGCAGATGATTATTCTCTGAAATAAGGGTAATAGTGTAGGAAAAGAGATTACTTACAATATTCAAAAGCAGAATGGCAGACAATTGAAATAATTATTTTTAGAGTCGTATGGGTGACCAAAGTAAATATGGTTATCAAAAACAGGGCAATGGAAATTTGAAAGTAATTAGAACAATGTGGGAAACAAAAATAAATACGGTGGTCATAAACAAAATGGCCGACAATGAAAATGGCAATTAGAATAGTGTGGGAACCAAAAATAAATACGGTGGTCAAAAACAAAATGACAGGTGATTGAAATGTAAATAAAATAGGATGGGAAACAGAAATAAATATGCTGGTCAATTGGAATAGTTGTGGGAGAAATAAAATAAAGATGGTGGCTAACTAGAACAAAATGGCAGACAAATGAAGCAGCACCCAAACAATTCGGGCAACACAAAATGGCGGACTACTCAACGTAAAATGGACACTCCACTTCAAATCAAAAATGGTCAAACTCCACTGTCCCTCTACAATCTAAGATGGCAGAACCACCGTACACAAAGAACTGTTACTTCTTAAGGAGTGATCTGGGAACTTCCGGCTAGTCCTTACCCCAGAACTACACTCCCCAAGATTCTGCAGTTTCACAAAGTAAATTAAAAATCCCAAACTAACAGCAAATCATCACTGAAGCGTCCAAAATTCCAAAATGAAATACCAGCACATTCCAAATCAACACCAAGTAACAAGCAAATAACATCAAGTTCCAAAGAAACTGTAAATTATTTAGTTACAACCAAATTAGAAAGCCTCCAAACAAACTATAAATAAAACATTAAATTATATAGGAATTCTCCAAACTATAAAAGAAACTTGATCCCTACCACGACATGTTCTATTCCTCCCTCCTAGTCCTAGTGACTAGGAGGACCATCTCACAGCCAGTGGCCCTCTTTCCTGAAGTCTCCATACTGCAAGGTGACTACTCTGTTGCCCCAGCTTGTCCCACTATGAACCCCCTCTCCTTGGGGTTCCTAGCTCAGAGTCCTAATTCCCTGGACAGAAAACCTTCCCTTTGGTCTGTTTCCAGGGAATCAACCCCCCAGAGTGGGCACCCTCCCCTTCCCCTGTCTAGAAGAGGCACTCTTTCATCTGGAGGCCACCTTAAGTTAGCAGTCCCCAGATAAGAGTATCCTTCCCACCTCTGGGGTCCTAATTCTCCAGGCAGCAAATCCATCCTTTGATTTGCCTCCAGGGAATCATCCCCTCCCAGGAAGGATTTGATCCCACAGTCCTTCCTCCAGTCCCCTCCTATGAGCCCCTTTTTTGGTCCCTAGTTCGGAAGGAACCTTCCCCTTATCAACTCCTTCCCTGGGGTTTCTAGCTCAGAGGGTGAAGGTTCTGGTTGTGACCAAACCCACCACGTGAGCCTCCTTCTGGGAGGATGGGAGCCTGCACAAGAGCAGTGTAAGGTCTGGTACTACCCATCTCCACAATCTCCCTACAAATCCTCTCATGGGATTTCTGACTCAGGAGCCTAGGGGTCCTTGGGGTCCACTCACTCAATTTCCAATCACTTCCCTCTGTTCCTGGCTGGCCCCCTCGTGGGAGTCCAGAAACGCGGTAGTAGGAGGTACCCACACGCTTTGGGAGTCTGTATTAACAGCCCCCATCTCTCTCACACTCATTCACTGCGTACTCCCTTCACCTCAAACCCCACCCATGACATCAACCTGTGCATTGTGGGCCTCGCTCCCTCTAAAGGGAGGTCCTACCCGTCCAGGTTGCTATGCCTCTGCCGGTCTTCAGGTATTATCACCTGTCCCTCCCATGGTCTCGAAGTAGTCCAGGGGTAAAAAAAGTGTACGCACACCTAAATCTGTCCTACGCCGGGACCACTGCTAGGTGTGATAATCCCAGATGAGTCCCCAGAAACTGTTATAAATGAGCTTGGACTTAGGATGAAAAACAAAGTCGAACCCTTTCTTAAACAAACCACAGAAAAACACCAAGAGGCAAGAGCCCAGAATAAGTTTGGACTCTGCTACAGCAATGCCAAACACTCTTGCTTAGATCAGATACTGTGGAAGGACTCCAAGAGAAGTCCTGCTGCCCCTTTTATAGACTCCCCCCCCCCGCCCCCCCATCCAGGATTGGTCCATTCATGATCCACTCTCTGACTGGCCCATTTCCAGGGCTCTCATTGGTTCTTAAGAGGGGTCACTCCTGACCAATCATTCCTCTGGGGCATCAATGATTGGTTGTCTTCTCCACCAATGGTTGTTTCCAGCACAGACATCACTCCTGGGAGGTCATGTTCTTGACTGTTGTTTTAGCTGAACCTTTCCTAACACCACGCGATACCCCACCAGCCCTGGGTCACCACCATCTCCACTTGAGTGCCCCCACACCAATCACCAGACCTCACCCATTTCCTTTATAAACCCACAAGAACCCACACTCCCTAACCACAAATATTAATTAGGAACATTTTATATTGAATAATTATTCACTTATAACCCAGTAGTAACAATTAATCAATATGTTACAACAACTAGTTTACTTATATTCCCTTAGAAGTGGTGAAGAGGAACCACTGAGCTGCTCACCCTTGTCCCTTTCCTCTCTACAGCAGCTCCAGCTCCACCTCTGGGCTGTCTCTCATGGGCCTCTCAGCTGCTTCTGAGATTTCCACCTCCTGAGAGAGCAGCCCAAGGCTCTTTCCAGAAGAGAGCTTTGCCTCAACCTTTGAATCAAGCCCCACTAACTCTTGTCATACAGACATCCAGATGTGCAGCCCTGCATATGCTGATATGAACTGAGAGCTGAGGGATGCATGCAGGGTCATGCCCTGCAGTGCCATTTCTAAAATGCCTCGGCTGCTTCTGAGGGAGCTGACATGACTGCTCCAAGCCAGTGGAAGCAGCTGTGGCCCAAGAAGCGAGGCCGGCAGGGCCGGCACAGCCCCACATCCCCGTGCCCACCCCTCACGGCCCTGTGGGAAATGGTGGCAGCGGGACCAAGGCACCCACTGAGCTGGCAATGAGCCGCCGAGTAGCACAATGCTGTGGAATGCATTAAGAGAGAGACTGGGTGTGTAGGGAGTTAAGGAACACAGACGGGCAGTGTTCATAGGTGCCACCCCTCAGGGAGGAATGGCGCCCAAACCCAACGCCGAGGCAACTGGGCAGCCTGCCTGGGTTCTGGGTTGGAGATGTGACCAAGAGACCCTCCAGCCTGGTAGCACCCTCTGCTCGTTATGCACTGCAGCCTTCAAGGTGCACTGCAGCCTTCAAGGCGGGTAGCGTTCTGTGCTTGATTCCAGAGGTTGGTATTGGCCAAGTTTATGCAGCTTGTCAGCTGGAAACTGCTTATGAGCCTTGGAGACAGCCCAGAGGTGGAAAGCTGTCAATGCCTCTCTGCTTGTGGCTATAAACACCTGGGGTTTAACAGATGCTTCCTGGGCATTTATACCAAAGGTGCTCTCTAAGGCCTTGCAGAGATTCTGAGCCTGGGGTGGCCGGCACACGTAAGTCCATGAGTATTTCCTTCCTGGAAGAGCTGCTCAGCTAAAAGGCCACTCGTGTTAGCTCTTACCTGCGGGAACATCGCACCTTTGTGTCCATGGCAGTACCTCATGGTGTCCAAGGACAAGCAAGAGGGAGGTCAGGACCTCTGGAGAACTGCTGAGGGATCTGGGGCACACAAAGTATTAACTTCTTCCACTTGCCATGAACCAGACACAGGAAGGTTCTAGAGTTGAATACCTGTCACCCTGGTCTTCCCAGCAAAGTGTGGAGCTTTTTCTGTGGGTTGCTCTACAGGACACCAGGCCTGATGGTGGCATGTGGCACATTTCCCTGCCTCAAAGGGAAAAAGGATCTTTGCTCAGGAGTTAGCAAGGCTCTTTGAGACAGCTTTAATCAGGATTGGAAGAAAAAAGGGAATAAAACCAGGCTCACCTGGGAGAAGCCTGAGCACTGCACACCCACCTTTGCATCATAGCAGTGGAGGGAAGCAGTGCTGCCTGGTCATGAAGCTGTAGCAGAAGTATTGGGAAAAGCAGGCTTCTTGCCAGAATGCTGTCTAGACAAATGTGTAGTGCCAAAGAAAGGCACCTGCAATTGGGTTTTTTAATGGCACCTTCATATGAGGCTTTTGATGGGGATTTCTGAGGAATAAGATATGAGTGCCTCTGCATTTCCGTGCACAGTGCTGCCTCCCAGAATACATCCACCCTTCTCTACTTGTGCTCCTTCTGTTCCTATGCAGAACAAGGAAACTGAACAGAGAGATGGTGCCTGAATGCAAAGGCAACATAGGTGTACTTTGGGGTGTACTGGTAGGGGGGTGCAATGCCCAATGTTGATGACAGTTTACAGGATGCCACGTTGTTATGAGGTCACAGAGCCCCACTCTGCTCTTCAGTGCAACTCTGGGCAACACTGCAGCAGCAGCAGCAGTGACAGTGGAGGCAGAATGTTGCATCCTGGCCCTGCAAGCTCAGAACACCCAGAGTGCTCAAATACCTGAGCAGGGAGCAGGTAGGCAGGCAGGGGCCAGCACATAGCCCTGGCTGGCAGCAGTGGGGCCAGGGCTTGGCTGAGCCAGGAAGCCACTATGGTGTGGGTGGTGGGGCAGACTCACCAGGGCAGGTATGAGGGGTTGCAGCTGCTTCAGGGTGCAGCATGGAGAGAGGTTCCTAAGGAGCAGGGAGGTGGGGAGGGGCAGTTCAGGCCCAGAACCTCGGCACTGAGTTATCAGTCACTCAGCACTGGTCATCCACCCCGAGCTCTGATTATCCAGCCTCCTGGCCAGGCTCCAGTGCTGACCCGCCCATGGGTCCTGTGGGCACACCATGGTTTTTCACTTCATGTGAGAGCTGCCAGCTGTGTTCCAAGGGCAGCCAGACCTCCCTGCAGCTGTGAGAATGCAGGCCTGTCTGTGCATGCCCTGTCAGCACCTTCCACATTCAGGTCTTGAGGTGTGACCATGAGGGCAGTGCATCTGATGGTAACTTCTTGTGGTGTTTACTTCTAGTTGAGGACAGAAAGGATTCACCTCCAACTCCTGAAGTAGATTCCATGCTGATTCCAAGCTGGTATCTCAAACGTGAGCAGTCAGTTGAATAAGCACTCCTTTTCCTTGTGCTATTCATGAAAAATGGACCTTTGTCTCTAAATGTTCTTTTATAAATCTAATAGGGAGGGATTACCAGAAGATACTTGTGGTTCCAAGAGGGCTTCTAAGAGCATTGGTAAAATCTGCATCTGGTTAGTATATCCCACTCAGTTAAACCTGGGACCTGGGAAGCTGAGCTTCTGCTTTCTTTATGGCAGTGCTGTATCCTGGACAGCCAGAAGCGCTCAGTCAGAGTTTTGCTGCAGGGACACTCCATTTCACACCTCCTAGTGTGAGCCATAAAGATGGCTGAGAACAGTGTCTGCTCTCAGTTGTGGTTCCAGATGATTACCAGGGGCACCTCCTGCTGCTGCTGCTGCTGCAGTTGTACCATTACTGGCCAGAGCTGCTGTGTGCAGACACTGGCATCCAGATGTTGGGAAAAGGCCTGTGCTGAATTTGTGTTTGCCTCACACTTAGCACAGTACTGAGACAGATCTGGCATCGCACAGAATGTATGCCATATCCAAAACAAAGAGGCAGGGATGGGTTGAAGCTGCACCTCAAGCACGAGGCTTTAGTTGAAGAAATTCCTTGTGTGTGTCATTCAGTTAGCCGAGTCTTGGGTGGTTTGGGTCTGCATTTCTTGCTGTATTGCAGTAAACCCGGTTGTGGATTCCTCTTGTCTTTGGGGACAGCGGGCTCCTCACTGCCACTTATCAAATTGCCCAGGCCATGGTACCATGCTCTTGGTAAGGGACAATGACTTTTATTTAAAGTGTTCCATGTTCTTTCTAAAGAGACAGATCATGAGATGGTGGAGAAGGAGACCTTTCCCTTGAGAGAAAATAACACCATGCCAAGCACAGATGAAGAAAAAGAAGCAGTAACAGATACCAGCACACTTGCTCATCACGAGAGACATTCAGGAAGTGAGTGCTTGGGAGATGTTTGCTTAGGGAAATAGGATCATTTCTGCTGTATCCCAGCAGTGCTCTCCATGGATGAATTGCAGGTGCCCAGCACACAGTCCTGGCCTGCAGCCCGGAGGAAAAGATAGGGGCAGTGCTGCTCCCTGATACACACTGGGCTCTTTTAGAGAACTTTATGGGATCTCCCTTGATCCCTGGTGCTATGACACCAGAGCCAGAGGAACCGATCTCTGAAGACAAGAATCCTTGGGCATCTGAAGCACACTGTGAGATTATCCCTAGTGCAGAGTACAAACATTGTCTCTTGCATTGTCTTTTCTCCTTCCAGGGTCAGCTACTGTGCAAAAAGCTGAGACTGCTGGACAGTGGGAACTCAGCAAGAACTACATCCTAGCGTCTGTAGTAGTTTCAGCTGTACTGCTGCTTGCAGGAGTGGTTGGGTATATAGTCATGGGTCAGCTTCTGAAGAGAGACACGTGAGTTGGCCTTTCCCTTGAGTTATTTACTACTGCTGTGGGCATTGAAGTATTTGCAACATGCTAGAGTGGGAAGGCAGCTTCTTGCAGCGCTCTACAGAAACCTCCATGCAGTCCTTTAACTGTGTTTTTATCTCGTATCTGAGGAGTCTTCTTGGCAATCTATTTCTACAGGAGGATTCAGGGAGATGAAGAAGCATCAACAAAAACCCACACTTAATTCTTTTTTGGACAGCAAAGATTAGAGTAAAACTAATGGCAAAGCAGAGTGAGGAGAATGCCCAGGAGGGATCAAGAATGTCCAAGCCAACAAGTTGAACAACAGTTGCCACCTGTCACCAGAGATGTCTGTGGTAGAGCTCACCCAGCTGTACAAGACCATGGGTGCAGACCCCTCACCTCTGCCTGCTGCAGATGCCATTTGTCTGATGGCGCACAGGTGTTCTAGGTGACCTGTGTTTCTATATATCTTTATAAATTTATTGTATTTCCTGTATGTCAATCCATGCAGTCTGTGTTTTTAAGACCCAAAAAAACCAACATTATGGAACTTGTGTGTCTTGCTTTGGGTTCATGGAGGGGGTGATGTGCTGGGTCCCTTGGAAAAGCAGGAATGGACAAACACTGGCACTCTTATTTCTCTCTGGGCTCTGGATGGGATTGCCTGGCACAGGTCTCCAAGTAGCTGCACTCTGTAAGAAGTTGCACTTCATAATTAGAAAACCAAAACAATCTGGTACCTTTTAGATTGCCTTGATTGTCTTAAAAATCTTCATTTCATCAATTTGCAGAAAAGACAGAAATTGTTTACATCTTTGTAAAAGGTGACTATGGGAGACCATGAGGGTTGACTTCCCTCTCTGGGAAGGCTCTGATGCCTGATTCAAAAATCCTTTCATTGTTTCAATAGTTTCACAGTATTGGAGGTTTCTTCCTGTGGATAGTGTTCTTGCAAATCTCTGACTGCTGACAATGGAAGGAGGATGCATGGATTCAGTCCTTTCTGAATGCTGTTTTATCTGGAAGTACCCCCAGAACATAAAAGCTGCTCTCCACTATGATGCACAAGAGCCTTCTGTCATTCCTTTTGGTATCAGCACTTACAGAGGCATTTGCTTCACAATATCACTTACTTCTGTAATTTACATCTACTTTTCCTTTTTAAATTGAATTCCTTTTCCTTGCAGAAAAATGTTGTCTAGTTTTATTTCAGAATTTCTGAAAGCCTCCAGAGGGAAAAAGGGAACCTTGAAGCTTCTGAACTCTTGACAGCACAGGGGGATGAATGACCACTGCTTTGGTAATTTGGCCAGACTATTGCTGCTCCAAGCCAGGTTTCACTGTCCTTCATGGCCACCTGGGCACACTCTGGCTCACATTCTGCTGCTGTTGACCAGCACCCCCAAGTCCTTTTCTGATGGGCATCTTTCCAACCACTCTGCCTCCAGCCTGCAGTACTGCCTGGGCTTGTTGTTACCCAAGAACCTGGAATTCCTTTGGAACACCTTTTTGAATCTTTTACCACTGGCTGTGGCCCATTGATGCAGCTTGTCTAGATGCCTCTGCAGAACCTTACGGCTCCCCAGCAGATCAACATTCCCACTCAACTTGGTGTCATCCACATGCTAAGGGTGCACTCCATCCTCTTATACACATAAAGATACAAAACAAAACTGAATGTCTGGTACCCTGATTTTTTACATTCATGTAATGAGTTTATTTACAGACCCAAAGACATGAAACAAGGAGGTTTCTTGAGAAAAGAAAGGGTCCTCTTGAGAGGACAGAAAGCCACCAGGCCTCTTGCCTGTTTTCTGCATGCATTTTCTTTCCCACTAATAATGTCATACGGCACCTCTGTGCCTAAAAGGTCAGAACAAAATAGCAGAATAGTAAAATGCAAAACAAACAAACATCCTGCTTTAGGCAGGATATTCCTTTAGTTCTTCCTCATGAGAAGGGCTGACTAATTATTTTCTCCCTTCTGTCTTCCAGTTTGTCTTATTCATACCCTTCTCAAATTGCAAACAGTATTTTACTAATCAGAATTAACACACTGTGTAATGTATCTGCCTGTGTGGGAAGAAAAAGCAGTAAAAACTCCTTTTGTATGTATTTGGTTGGAATGATTTAGTAAGTTTTACTCACAGCTAATTCAAAGCTCTAATAATAGCCTGGTGGAACACATGCAACTCATGGTTTAAACTTCTTAGTTTTAGATAAAGGCTTAGGCAAACAGGTGACAATAATTGATATGAGCATTGCAAAGACAGTACAGAATTACCTCTTATCATACTGCTGTTGATCCTTCTCAAGTGCTGGGACTGGTTTTTTGCAGTGCAATGTGAAATACAAAGACTTCTGTGTGTACTGTTCAGGCTTATTAGCATCCCCTTTTCAAAAGCAGGTTGAACCAGGTGACCTGTAAAGGTCGCTCCAACCCAAAACTTTCTGTGACTGTGTGGCTTTGCGTCACTACAGTGGTAGTAGCTCTTTATTTCAGTGACAAATACATTCACTATTATTTCTGCAGCAGGCAGAGAACTAATGAGGCAGCAATGACCCTCTCCCTCATTGTCATGAAGAAATAATGAGGATTGAACGTAGAATTCTGTTAGAGAGAAAGAATTCTAGGCCTGTGAATATCTGGTTCTTGACCCTTGCTTTGATATATTCTGTCTACTGTCACAGTGTCCCAACAAGTCTATTCTACATTTTTAATACATGGTTTAGAAGTCAGATACTCCTTCCATTGTAATGCCTAAAGATAATGAAAGAAATCATTATCACATATCTAAAACAATTTTCCAAGATTTTCTGCACCCTTGTCCCATTTGATTAGTTTTGGGGGAAATGACCAAAACCAATATCACTTGTTCTCTTCTTCTGGATTTCACAGAATAAAGAGAAAAAACACACCAAAAATCCCAGAAAAAAGTTATTCGGTGCTTA